TATCAACGGCATTTTTGAACGTCCTACAAAGCTTGTACACGGATAATCTGGCGACAGTATGCGATAGAGAACATCTATCCGAGTGGCTTACCACGGAAGCTGGAGTAAAGCAAGGATGTCTACTCAGCCCCCTCCTGTTTTCCCTTTTTTTAAACGACATAACGGATTGCCTGCCTTGCGGTATTCAAATATGCGGATGCTCGATCAAGGCTCTGCTGTATGCAGATGACATTGTGATCCTCGCCGAATCCCCCGTTGAACTGCAAACAATGATTAATGCTCTGCACAAATGCTGTTTGTTATGGGGATTGTTGGTAAACACCGAGAAGTCGAAAGTTCTGATTTTCAAGAGGCATTGGAGAAGGCTAGACTAAAACGAAAAGTGGAATTTAGGGTCTATTCAGCTAGAAATTGTCAAGTATAAGTATCTGGGAGTCTGGATTCACCACAATGGTCGTTTCAACAACCATTTACAGGAGAAACTTCGAGAAGCAAAACTAGCCATAAACTGCACTCCAATGAGTAGCAAGTACAAACTGTTTAGTGCAGCAATGCGGTCAATCCTTTGTTACGGCGCGCAGGTCTGGGGCATCTCACCTTATGAAGAAGTTGAAAGCCTTCTAAGATTGTTCTTAAAGAAAATATTTCGTCTACCCAGATTTACTCCGAAGAGGATGCTATATCTTGAAACAGGATTTCAGGTATATCCAGAAAGTGGTAACCATGCCCGAACAAAGGCTGCCACGAATTCTAGCGAACTTTCTGGTGCAGGAGCGTAAGGAATGGGTCATAGAATGGGAGACGCTTACCGAGACCTACGGAGAAAGGCTACATTTAGGCGATCCTTCACAATGGACGCAATGGGCGAAAAATATTCTAGCACATATGGACGAAACCTATAGGACTCAGTTCAAAATGGAATCAAGGAGAAGCACAACGCGGATGGCTCATAGGTCCCTTAATTATGATCTGGGCCTTGATAACTATTATACTGACGCTTTCACGGTTGAGAAGATTCGTACCATTTTCATGGCCAGGGTGTGCCCAATCTGCAATATGAGGGAGCAGGAAAACGTCGTGCACTTTATAGGACGCTGCCCCATTCTACGGGAGATCCGCCTGCTGCATTTTGGTAAGGCACAGCTGCAACCGCGGGATGTATTCAATTCGCTGGATGGGCAATGTTGGTCAACTCTCTACAGCTACATCAACCAGGCTCTAAGGTACCGAAACAACATTTTAACGGAAAGCTTTTAAGCACTTCATATTACAAACCCAACACGTAACTCAGCTCACCTAGTTGTTAAACTGATTGGTAGAACGATCTGATATCTGGGGAAGACCCGGGAAGTCAGGTGTAGTACACTGTGCAGTTTTGACACTGGGAAAGCGGAGATCGACAGACGGTTAAAATAACCAAGTCGATATATTTCATTTCCTTTTTTAATTCTTGTTTATATAAAAATTTGTGAATCTTTTTAATTGTACACTTGAAATGCCGTTTGTTCAATGTTTCTTATAAATAAAGAATACTACTACTACTATTACTACTACTCGTACTTTATGGGGTCGAAAACGCCTCCTTCTACTTGTTTCTGAATTGTATTGTTCTCGTCAATACCCATTAATTGACCCAAACAAATATTGTTTACCGCCCATATACCCCGTCGGATCGTCAGGCATGTGGTGCTTGATTCCACAACAATTTCCATCGGAAAAATTCAGGGGTTGGCACCACGTGAACTTTTTCAGGGGGTTTCAGGGGGAATTTTTTCGACGAAGCGTTCGCTGCTCGTGTCCATAGGACAAATTCAGGGGAAAATATTCCCTTAGAAGCGAGCGCAAAGAAATTTATTTTTAAATCAAACTTATATATAAATTTGTTCTCCCCGAACATTAAAAACCCAATCAAGAGGTATAGTTAACGTTGCTAGGAAACGAAATACAATTTTCACTATATTTAAATATGTCAAAATATAAAAACATTAGCAGATTGTAACTCTTAAATTTTCCAAATAATAATGATTTAAATAAATAATAGTGTTTAACGTACAATGACCTTTAAAAGCATATAAATAAATATATTTTAATGCAAAAAGTAAGCAAAAAAAATATTTGTACATATTTCAATATCTAAAAAATACATGTACCGATATCGAAATTTTAAGAATAAGTGATTTCTTGCGTACCAATTTTTTTGAGGCAATTTTGAAGAAATTTTCCCTAGCCAATTCCATTGGAATTATCTATATACAATTCCATAGGAATTTCCTATATCAAATTCCATAGTAATTTCCTATGTCCAATTCCATAGGAATTTTCTATATACAATTCCATAGGAAATTCTTATGTATAAATGCGAGGGACATTCGGGGGGTCAGGCCCCGAAAAAATGAGACCCCCTGAATTTCCCTGTCCTTTTTCCATAGGAATTTCCTATGTAAAGCGGTGGCGAACCTTTCAGTACTGAAAATTTTGGACAGCCTTAATAAAAGAGAATGGACTTTGTCTATAATGGGGACGTGAAACCTGCAGCCCTTTTCCATAGGAAAAATGTCCGACTGGGTAACCATATATTGAGATCCCGGGTAGGTGGCGCATTTTAATCTTGCTTTGCTGCAATAGTAATAGCGTTCTTCCTTGTTTCGATTCAAATAATTTAAAAAACCCTTCAGCTACAAGGACCAAGCAGCTTGTCGACAAAACAGTTATCGGTTTCGAGTGTGTGACTCAGTTGCATGTCAAGTAATTACATGGTTCCTGATTTGAATATTAAAGGGCTTTCCTAAACAAATTTTAGTTCTAGCTTGCACTTAAAATCGGTAACGCTTCGTTCTGCCTGCGACATACTTCCCACCGAATACAATTTTCGTCAACCATAAGCCAACGCATTAGCAGCTGTGGACACTTTAAAATTCCTATCCAACCTCCTAGTAAACTCGAACCAATAAACGCTTCTAGGCTTCAAGACACAAGCTTAATGGACACAAACTTAATAGATACCCAACTATGCCGTCTTAATAAATTAACTAAAATCTCTAGTAAGTAATTAAATTTTTTTTAATCGCATATTCTCTCTACTTATATTGACAATTATTTCTTAGCATAATAATAATAATAATATTTGACGTGTAGATAGGTATTGTTAATGAAAACAAACTCGCATTTAAATTTGTAGAAAATAGTACAAAATGTGGACGCTAGACGGGTTTTATTGTTAAAGTCGTTTGTGGGCGTTAGAGTGGGCGTGGCACTCTGACCTGGCAACAATCTTGCGCTGCGCAGGAAAAGTCTACATGCCAAGTCCCAACACTCTAGCTCTTAAAGTTTCCGAGGTCTCAGCGTTGATACGGACAGACGGACAGTCTGACAGACGAACAGACGGACACGGCTGGATCGACTCGGCTAGTGATGCTGTTCATTAATATATATACTTTATGGGGTCGTAAACGGTTCCTTCTACCTGTTACATACTTTCCGACGAATCTAGTATACCATTTTACTCTACCAGTAACTGATATAAAAATAAGTGTTTTCAAGCCTAGAAAAAAACTTAAAAAGTACACCCCGAAAAGTAAATGTCCTAAAATGCCTACTAGAACTTGAGTTTAATTGACCTAAGCCTTGAGATAAGTCCACGACCTAACATTTTAGGTCACTAATGGCCTTAAATGTAAGCAATTTTTGCCTTGATTTTTGGTAATTGGATGACTAAAAATAGTATTTTTAGGACAATAATAATTTGTTGGAAGTTACAAAAGCATTTTGACACGAAATCAAATCATATGGACTGGGGTCAGGGGGATAAGTGGGGCTTCCCGCCACTCGATGTTCTCGGGGTTTGAAGTTCGAGCTCTGCCCAAAAAGTGAAACTGATATATTTTTCAATACAATAATTATTGTTATAATGGCTATGTTTCCTAAAAACTTACTTTGACATACTCTGGCCCTTGCGGGTATCCGAACCGGGGTCCTCTTACATCAGAGGCTGACGGCTTACCCATTGGGCCATTGCACGGAACGCATGAGTGTGTAAGATCAAGTTATACATAAGTAACGCATCGGACTCCGCAGACAAAATAAAAGTGTGTTTTTTTTTTAGTGAGGTACAATATTATTATGGATATAAAATAATACAAATAAATTGTATTAAAATCATAAGTAAACATTTTTCTTAAATACTTAATTTTCAGGGCATATGTATATATGTATATATATATCAGGTTATAAATACACAGCCCTGCAAGCAAAAGGGCGATATTTCTATAGTCTGTCGTCCAGGAGTCACTTCTTAGTAACATCTGCGCGATAGAAAGGCGATAGTACCCATTTTACAAAAATAAAATATACACGTGTCGCGTAGAAGTAACTTCTAAGTCACTTCTGGACGATAGAAAGACGATAGTACACATTTTACAAAAACAAAAAGGGTCGCAATGGCGAAGAAGTAACTTCTGAGACACTTCTGCACGATAAAACGGCGATAGAACACATTTTACAAAAAAAAAATATACATATAAAGCGTAGAAGTAACTTCTAAGTCACTTCTGAACGATAGAAAGGCGAAAGTACACATTTTACAAAAACAAAAAGGGTCGGGATCGCGAAAAAATAACTTCTGAGACACTTCTGCGCGATAGAAAGACGATAGTACACATTTTACAAAAACAAAATTAATGGAAAAAAACAAGACATAAAAAGAGGTCGCGGTAATTTTTCGTTACCCCTTTTTTTCTGAAAACTTTTTGGTCTTCCTATTGACCCACGCTATTATTTTTCGCCCGAGCGTCATTTCGTTGCGCAATTTGTCTGTGTACAGTGCGGTTTTGTATCAATTTTGGGCGTTTTAAAAATATTGCTTTGTTTTTTCCAAATGTTATTGATTGCTTAACATATTTAAATATCCCCCTCAACAAAGGGTGCGAAATAACGTGCTTATCGTGAGCTGCACGATTATTTAAAGCTTTTTACGGACAAGCTAGCTGTGGACATTACTTGGCGTGTGACTGCGGATCCAACGATTCTCAACATACTTCATTGTAAAAGGTAATGTCTTCTAGTTTATTTTTACCTTGACTGAACAAAAAATAATTTTTGTTTCTGTTTCCTTTAGAAATGGTTATTAATAAATTTCTTATGTCGACGGAGCTGGACCTAAATAACATTGATCAGCAAAATTTCCTACATGCCAGTGACCGTGTATACAAGCGGACAAAGCCCTTATACACAAAATAAATGCAAAATATTGAGAGTATAAAAAAATATGTTTTAATTAAAGTTTTTCCAATTGGGAAAGACTCTTCTAGATATCTTCTACAAGCAAATGTAAAGTCACTTCGGAGTGAATTCCAGAAGTGACTACGGAGACACTGTTGGAAGTTACTTCGGCGATATCGCAATCGGATCGCGGAAGTGACTCCCGTCAAGAAGAAATGTGCCAATTCGGCGGCACTTCTATGAGTGACTTCGGCGACACTTCCAGAAGTTACTTCGGCGATATCGCATTCGGATCGCGGAAGTGACTCCCGTCGGGAAGAAATGTGCCACTTCGGCGGCACTTCTCGGAGTAACTTCGGCGACACTTCCAGAAGTGACTTCGGCGACACTTCCAGAAGTAACGCAGAAGTGACTTCGAGAAGTGTCGCCGAAGTGGAACATTTCTTCCCGACGGGAGTCACTTCCGCGATCCGAATGCGATATCGCGGACGATCGTTTTCATCTGCTTGAAGTCACTTAATAGTGCCTTCCGCGATAGAAAACGCTTGCATAGAGAACACATGTCTGTGACTTTGGTTACAGTTATAGCAGGCGTTATTGGAATAGCGCATTTTAAATACACATGTCTGTGATTTTGTTGTTGTTTACTTTTAATATCCGTTAGAATGTATAATGTAGTTGTCCCTCTCTAATACATGTTATCCCTCCGTTAGAATATAGCTATTACGCTCTCTTGAAAAAGAGATGAAAGAGAAAACAAGGGAACAGGGTTGTTGGAAAGCTGCGGCTACGCAGCGGAGTTAGTCAAAAGCGATTTGTGAAGCGAGAACATCAAATTAAAGATAAATAATAAATATATACGTGTTCTTCTTTCGTCCACAAAATCAGAAGAAGGATGAAAAGCCAACGTCAAACTGGACAAATACATTAAATTTGTTAACGCTAGAGTGGTGTTATTAAAAAAGTGAAAAAATTCTGTTTCCGAGCGGTGGATTTGTCGACAGTGATGGCAAGGGCGACAGTAATGGCAAAGGTGGCGACAGTGATGGCAGCGGCAGTGACGCCGGAGGAAAAAAACGCACCGAACGAATTGACAAGAAGAAGCTTGATTGTACTGATAAAATCTAGTGGTATTCGTCAGCACTGGCGCTTGCGAAAAAAATGGTATTCGAGTTCTCGAGTTCTCGCCATCTGAAAGTGTTTCAATATAGTGCAAACCCGAAGGTTGCCGTTGCCTGTTTTTTACGATCGTTTTTTTTCGGGTCTGTTCTCTTGACAAAAAATAATAAAGAAAAAAGGGAACATGCAAGGAAGTGCGCGGTTTTTCTTGTCTCTTGCATTTCTTGTCAGTTTTAATTTTAAACCCGTTACTCGTAGAGTTAAAGGGTATACTAGATTTGTCGGAAAGTATGTAACAGGCAGAAGAATGCTTTCCCGACCCCATAAAGTATATATATTCTTGATCAGGATCACTAGCCGAGTCGATCTAGCCATGTCCGTCTGTCCGTCTGTCTGTCCGGATGAACGCTGAGATCTCGGAAAATATGAGAGCTAGGCTATTGAGATTTGGTGTACAGATTCCTGAGCTTCTTACGCAGCCCAAGTTTGTTTAGACTGCCACGCCCACTCTAACGCCCACAAACCGCCCAAAACTGTAACTCCTACAGTTTTGATGCTAGATAGAAAATGTATTGTTCTCATCAATACCTATCGATTGATCTAAAAAAAAGTTTGCCACGCCCACTTAAACGCCCACAAACCGCGAAAACCTGTGACGCCCACAATTTGCATTCTAGATAAAAAATTTTAACTGAAATGTATTGATGTCGTCAATACCTATCGATTGATCCAAAAATAAATTTGCCACTCCCACTCTAACGCCCATAACGCTTAAATCTGTCTACCGCCGGTAGGTGGCGCATTTTAATCTCGCTTTGCTGCTTGCATATCTCCATTTCCCTTTGAGTAACGGGTATCTGATAGTCGAGGTACTCGACTATAGCGTTCTTCCTTGTTAAAAATGTTTTTTTCCGATTATTTCTATTGGAGCTATAAGATATAGTTGTCCGATCCGGCTGGATCCGACTTATATACTACCTGCAAAAGAAAGAAGAATTTTGGGAAGGTTTCAGCCCTATAGCTTAATAACTGAGAGATCAGTTTGCATAGAATCGGACGGACAGACTGACGGACGGACAGACCGACAGACGGACATGACTAGATCGACTCGTCTAGTGATGCTGATCAAGAATATATATATTAAATATATATATTTATCGGAAATGTCTCCTTCACTGCAAGGGTATAAAAAGCGAGAAACGATGGTCTCGACTATCAGATACCCGTTACTCAGCTAAAGGGAGTAGAGGGAGACGGAGATGAGCAAGCAGCAAGGCGACTATTCCCTAAATTGCGCCTTCTACCTTTTGCTTATAACTTTTCAATGGATTATAAACTGATTTGAACAATTTTTAATCTGTGTATGCTTATTGACAACCTCCCTTTTACACTTTTACAAAATCATGGGCGTTTGTGGACAACAAAATTTCATTTAATAATGTTCACGCCAAAAGGGCGATTAATTTCAGGAGGCAGTGTCGAGCGGCAGTTTTATCCAGATTTCTGTATCTCGCGCGCTCGCACTGCCGTCCGCTCTCCCTCTCCATCTCTCCCCTAACTCTCCGCTCTGCTCTGGAGCGCTTAAGTTAAGTTAGGCTTAAGCAGTTCTTATTTCAAAGTGATCCAATAAACACCTACGCACGTCGCGTAAAAACCCCCCCGTATTTTTATGCGTACCATTCGATCTTGGGGCTTCAACTATTTCACCGATCAAGCCGCATCGCCCCAACATTTTGGTATGGCCGGATTTCAAAATCTTTGGATTTTCCTCTTCTGGAGTTTTCTTTGATTTTGTCCCAGCAGGCTTGAACCGCTCCAGATAAGTTCCACTTACTATAATTGCCAGTTTTTCGAACCCTATTTCGACTAACTTTCTGTATGATATATTGTCTAAATCCAAAGGTGATTAATCCGACGCAACGGCATTTAATATATGTACTTCAATTCCGTTACTTGGGCCCGACAATATTCCAGTTTCCTTTGCCCACAATTGTACAATTGAAACAATTCCAGAAGATATTTCATTGCTACTATTCAACAACAATATTTCTCAAAAATATTTTTAATTCCAATTGTGTGTAAAATATAAATCAGCCACAGTAAAAAATTCCGGATCATAAAATTTTTCCTTTAAGACTTGCACTCTTTATTTTTTACTGTGTTCCAGCTGCGTGTGTATATTTACATAAATATTCTAATACAGTCCACTCTAACTACTCTTTCTAATACAGTCCACTCCAACTACTTTTCTCGACCTACAAATACGGCTAAACTATTTCTAAAATTAAAAACAAAGTTACAAATTCCACAAATTTACTCCAGCAAATCGTTTGCAATTTAGTTGTGCAGGTGACAAACAAACGCACGGACATACAAACATAAGCGAAGTCTTTCCATTTCCCGCAACGTTATTCCGCTATTCGCACCCCACATATGTACATATGTACAGTGTACATACATACGTATATCGCCAGTGCACAGTGAGCCAAGAGCTCACAATAAATGTTCCTTCCAAACATAAAATATTATAGTCCGTAATTCTTTACTTAAGTCCGACCATCCGATATAATAAATATTTATTGACTCTGCCTATCCGACATATATATTTACAATCTTAATTGGTTCCTAAATTCCAATTCGATTCCAATCCGGTTCCTTACTTCTGAATTAAAATTCTAAACTATTTTACGTCATGGCAAGTAAAATCCGCTTTAACCCGATTTATGGCCACAGCTGACTGTCTGATCCACTTTGAGGCCACTGTGAACGCTCCAGGTGCTCCTACCCCAACGTTATCCGCCTATAAAATCCGTCGCGATCACCTCAATTCCTTGTGGCAAACGGTAAAGGCAGCATACGAAATATGCTCCGACTGCATTATAGCTGCAGGCGAGAGCGCCGCAGACACAAAATCCATACTAAAGTCCAAGTATTACCAAACGTACTCCACTTAATATACGCAATATACATAGACAATCCGAGTCTAACGCCCGTTGAAAAATTATTCCACTTAAATTCAAAAACAAGTGGCGAAGCTCATTCCATAGTTTCAAGATCCCCACTCACCAACGATGGCTTTCGCACAGCCTGGAATAACCTAACTGAGCGTTTCGAAAATAAGCGATTGCAGGTGAACAGTCACCTGAAAACACTTTTCAATGTGCAATCCATAGCACAGGAGTCGGGAGCAGCCTTAAAGGAACTTCAACGCACTTTTCAAGGTTGCTTAACTTCCTTAAAATTTTCCGGTGTTAATATTGAGAATTGGGACCCTATCCTGGATCGACAAAACTACCAAAGCTCACTCTCTCATTATGGGAGCAATCCATCCAAAATAAAGCCGAAATTCCTACGTGGCTTGAGCTTGATTCATATTTGACGGAGCGCCATCTAACTCTTGAGGCCGTCGATAGCTTCCGATCTGCCAATTTCCACCACGTCCAGTCCAAAGACACAAATCGAGTGGCAGAATTTCCAAAAATAAATTCCTTCAACACAAGGCTAGTTCCGATACCCAAAGGCTGCGATCTGTGTTCGAAGAAGAACCACCCCGTGCGTATATGTCCACGCTTCCTACAAATGACGGTAGACGATCGCCTACCCTATATTCAAAAGAAGCAGTTGTGCTCCAATTGCTTTGCAAGCAGCCATCAATTCCGGGTTTGCACAAGTGCTCACAACTGTCTAACTTGCCTAGATCAGCATCACACATTGCTGCATCGAAACAGCGGCCCTACTACTCCGCCGATTCCATCCGACCCTCCAAGGCCAGTATCCGCCTCAGTTCCACACATCATTTCTTCCTATTCAGCGCAAGTTTCCGTACAAAAAGTCCCTCCTAAGAATACTCCATCCGAGTATTTGGGTTCCATACCCATCCTTGGATGGCAGACGTACTCGAGGTATT